AGTGGTGGTGATGTGCGGTGATGTGCGTGGAAGACTTCCGGACCACAATTGGATTGGTGACCGTGACTGGCTGGGAGTTGTAGCTGGTGCAGGGTGACTCTTCCTCAAAAGCTTGACAAATAGAAGTCCCACGCTTGCAGTTGTTTCCCTCATGCCTTTTCTTTTCTGGGAGGCTTCGTTGAGGAGACTAGCACCACCCACTTGGTGCACCAGCGAACCAGATCATCTGCGCTCCCTTATGCTCCCTTCAGTTCTCTGTTCCGCGGGTCACTGGTGGAGCAGCTGGACCTCCCGGATGCCCCGGACGCCCCGAAGCCGCCCCGGAGCTCCGGTCGCTCCGGTCGCTCCTCAGGTTCCACGAGTTGGCGACCTTCGACCTGACCAAAGCGGAGTGTCGGAAAGCGTCGGACCGAGTCCTGGTTCACCTGGTCATCGCCCGTTGGTATGGAAGAGACTTGCCGGAATGAGCCGGGAGAAGGGGCTTCCCAGGTCGGAGTGGGAGAACGGCAGCTAGATGCCCGTTTGGGTCACGGGTGCACTCACTCGGTGTGGAGCTACTGGAACCGAGGAACTCCGTTCGCTCGGTCATTGGTGATGTGCACTCGGTCATTGGGGCGAAGGCATCAGACAAAGTCAGAAGGCAAACCTCCGATTAGCACGCACACACTCACACACTCCGAAATGTACTGTACATGTATATGTGTATGCAATGTAATGTAATGTAATGTAATGCGATGCGATGCGATGGAATGGAATGGAATGGAATGGGATGGGATCTATCTATCTATCTATCTGCCTGTCTGTTTGTCTGTCTGTCTATCGATCTATCATCTATCTATGTTTGTATCACGGATAATAAACCAACATAATTTCAAAAACCTTTGTTCAACAAGTAAACGCCACGTATCATCTGATTTCGCCGCCAGCACGTGACGGGCGCAAGTCGCCCAGACAAGGTGCGGATGCCTTTGTGAACTTTGTGCGTGGGCCCCTGTACCAAGAGATGATGGCAAGTCCAGCTTCGACGAGTGGATTCACCAAATGCTACGCACTCAGAGCACAGTAGAGCAACAAGATGTATGCAACCATGCATTTCCTTGTGGCAGAGTGAACCGAGGATGTGTTATTTTCAGGCCTCCAGAATTCTTTGCTTCAGGTTTTAGGCCGCATGGCCCCCCCCGTGGGCACCGCAAGCATGTGAAGCATGTGAAGCATGCGAAGCATGAGGCTATACACCCCTCTTCTTGACGGGCTTTGTGTCCGTGGGCCTCGACACGCTGCTCCTGCTTCGGGCAGCTCAGGCGTCGCCGCTGGAGATCACATGCCGCTGGGCCTAAGTGGGGAGGGGCGTCTCCCCCTGGAATAATCATGGAAGTGGAAAACCGCCTGTTCATAGAGGCACATGTCTTTCTTTCTGGGCCATGCCATCCACTTCCACGAATATTTCCGGGAATGTATTTGTTTCGTGGCAAGTTCGACATAGATATGGCTGCTGCATTGATAGGAGGAAGAAAGCCCTTCAGGAGTCAGACTGGACCGTTCTTTTAGCTACATAGGCCTTTTACTGCATAGGCTGAGGCTCTTTAGAGGGTCATTCGGCCAAATGACCTTCGATCACATTTTAGATGATCATATGGCCCTCCCGGCTGCTACGCTCCATCAAGCATTCACCTGTGAGTTCTGTAGAGTTGGATCCTCAGATCCTCAAGATCCTTAGAGGTGTCAGATCCAAAGTGGGAAGTTCTCAGTCCTTTCAGGGGCGTCACGACCTTTCTTCTTCCCGAAGCATCTCTTCCCGGAGCCCCATCCAACATGCTCAGGCTATGTCTTCGGGCCCCTGATCACCTTTCATGTGGCACCTGGGCTGTGTCGCAGTCTACGGTCGTGAAAGCCCTGCGCGCCCTGCGCTCGGGTGGGCAGGTGGGCAGGTGAAGCAGGAAGCAAGCATGGCCCTGGCGAACGTTTGAGCATGTCAAGACATGTGGCTTCTCTTCCTCTAACTAGATGGACGACGTGAGATCCCCCCACGTCTTCCCCTTTGGTGCAAACCACAGAACTCGTGGGACGTCTTCCAGGCCCAACCAAGTCGGGCATGCCGACGGTCCGCGGAGCCAGGTCTGGCCATGGCGGGACCGGGCGCATCGAAACCATACCGTTTATACATACGGTGTGGTCCATGACCAGCATATTGGTGAGCGGCCTCCTCTACTAACAGAAGCGGACAAATCCACTGGTATACGGTATGCTGGTAGTGGCGTAGTGGCTACTTTTACATGCCACTCTACTGCTTTTCAAAAGCCCGCCCAAACTCGGCACTGCACAACAAATTTCTCGCCAACATGTCCATCATCCAGATGCCTCATCCACTGGACTTCTCACAACAAAGAAGTAAGCCGACTTTGGATCTCTTTTCCAGGTAGCTTGCCGCACCTGGTGGCCGCAGGTCTTGCTTCCGCCGAGATTCTCGGTCATTCGACCCCAGGTCCCAGGTCCACCTAAGAACACAAAACCTGCGTCGTGGCCCGCGCGATGCGACGACAAAACCGAGAAAACCGAGAAAACTGAGAAAACCAGAAAACCGAGAAAACCGAGAAAACCGTTTTCGCGTTTTCCCGTGTGGAAGCTTTTTCCAGTTTGCTTACGTCTTCTTGCTTGTCTTGCCTTTGAGCGTGAAAACCACAACCAAGAAAACCGGCAAAACGAGAAAACCAAGAAAACGGTTTTCGTCGTTCTCGCCGTTTTCCCGTTTTAGCCGTTTTCGCCGTTTTCGCGTTTTCGCCGTTTTCGCGTTTTCGCCGTTTTCGCGTTTTCGCCGTTTTCGCCGCTTTCGTCGCTTTCGCCGTTTTCGCCCGTTTGCGCATTTTTGTCGTTGTCGCCATTTTCGTAGTTTTCGCCGTTTGTGTCGGCTTCGCGCAGTCG